CCTGGCCGAGGGGCCGTTCCTGCGCCCCGCGTGGCGCGCTGTGCTGGGGGCGCGGGGCGCCCGGAGCGCGGTGCGGTTCGGCTGAGCGCGTCTGTGCTGCAGGGGGTCCCCGTGGGCGTCACTGCCGTGCGGGAGCGGACACGGGGAGCTCTCGGGTCTGCAGGGGGCTTCCTCAAACGCGCAGGGCGAACCCCGGCGCCCGGAGTCAGAGCAGAACCCGGGCTGGCGCTCCCGACTACTTCTTTCCTGTAGTTGGGCTCATAGGAAACTTTGTCTTTGAACAGGTAAAATCAAAACCCCGTAGTGGCAGGCAGCAGCAAATTAAGTGAGTCATTTCTTCAATGTGCATGAGGGTGTGTGTGTGTGTGTGTGTGTGTGTGTGTGTGTGTGTGAGAGAGAGAGAGAGAGAGAGAGAGAGAGAGAGAGAGAGAGCGCGCGAGAGAGAGAATGCGCACGCGCGCAACCTCCGCTTAAAGTCTATGTCTCGGTGTTAGGAATTATTTCATAGGAGTGATCGGAAATAATGCTAGGCTAGTTCGGGTCTATCGAAGTGCAGCTTTCTCGCAAACAATGGCAAACGAGTCAGATGAGAGGTTCGTGATAGTAAATATGTTGCTTTATTGAGAGCCATCCGTAGGGTTCGCATGTTGCATGGCTTTCGGTCATGGAGTGTGTGTGTGTGTGTGTGTGTAAGCACTGTGTGATAGGCTGTGGTTCCTCTTCTAATTCTAGCACTGGCTGGTACTAAAAAAGACATTCGGTCTCTTTTGCACGTTCTCCACCACAAACTTCTCACTTCTGCCCGGAGGGAGGCCAGGAGTGCCCTGTCCTCTCGAAGGCCTCTTGGGCTGCCCCTTCGGACGCTCAGCTTCGTCTGACTGCCTCTGTCTGAAAATATGGGCTGGGCAAAGTTGTCAGTGTTAATGAAAAAGCTTCTGCGAGCAGGTTTACCTGAAAGCTTAGTAACTGTTAATGGTTCACACATTACAAATCCAGTGGTACACAGAAAAGTCCTCGGACTAGGCCAAGAATTCAGCCCTCCTGCGGCTCCGTGGAGCCAGACCTCACCGTGCTTGGAATCCCCACTAGCAAACTCCTCGGCCTCCTCTCTGCAGGCCGCTAGGCTGTGTGACTCCAGCCTGCAGCCTGACGCGTGTATTTCCATTTTCCCAGCTCCAAGTCGGTCTCCTGTCCTTTCCTTTGCGTCCGAGCTTTTCTCAGAGCAGCCCTCTCTGCCATCCTTTCGTCTGGGCCAAGATGCTCATCCCCGTGCTCCAGTACCAGCTCCTGACGCCAGCCCAGCACCAGCCAAGCTGGCTCTTCCAAGGTGGCGCTGTCTGCTCCAAGCGGGTCCCTCCTGCTTCCTTCTGGCTTGGTTCTTCCCAGCCTGGTGGCTTCTCAGAATCACCCAGAACTTTAGGAAAAATATCTCATTAGACTCTTAGGTATACCAAACTGGGGGGTTGAGAATTCAAACCCCAAAAGGCCCAGGAGGAGCAACAGGGGAGGTAGGAGGGAGAGAGGATCAGCGCCCTGGCGACTCTTCTGTTCAGTTGGGTTTGGCGGTGACTTCTCTTGCTGCCACAATGTACTGATAAGTGAGCTGGTGACGGGCAGCACTGGCGGCATTCTCTTGGCCTGGTCTCTTGCCAGTGACTTTGGGGTTTATGTAGAGGGTCTTCTAATTCATTGACCTTAGAGTTACGGGCGTGTGTCTTCGGTTTTCACTTTACTTTCACCACTAGCATCTAGTGCTAGACTTGGGAATTTTTCCACCTTCAAAATCTGGAGCTTGGCCTTCTGCCTGCTGAGCTGATTCTGTCCACCCACTGTGTTTGCTTTTACCCACCACTGAGGGCTCGGAGTGCCCGCTCTTGCTGCCCTGCAACCTCTCATGGCTCCATCCCTCTCCACCGGGGGTGTGGAGGTAGCCCAGCCGCTTCCGACATCCGCAGTCAGGAACCCGTGGTCAGAGCAGGTTGGGGTTCTCCTAGTCCTGTTTCCAGTGCAGAGTCACTGTCCTGGTGGGCACCGTCTCCTTCCCACCCGCCTGGCATTGTCCAGCAGAAGCCCTCACCGTGGTTCCACTGCCGAGTGGTGCTGGCTCTGATTTCGCTCAGTGAGGTCTTGCTCTTCTATGGGAGAAGTCCTTCCTGTGTTAACTCCGGCTGCAGCAGAGCCTGACGTCGCTTAAACTTGTCCCGAGCTCCCTGCGCTGATGAGGTTAAGGGCATCCCAAGCATTCCCCCTTGCAGTCCGGGCCTGCGTGCGTTCTGCGTTCTCCCAGTGTCCTCCTGGCTCCCCCAGGCAGTTTCCTCTGCTTCTTTTCGCCCTTGTTTATCTCGTCTTTCTCAGATGTCTCCAGGTCCTTCCCTCCGAGGAGCCTAGGGTTGCCCCCAGCCGCTTCATCCACTCCGTCCCTGACCTTGGAGCAGCAATCTCTGCGCCTGCCTTCCTCGTGGCCCCTGGGAACTCGCTCCATTTTCCATTCCCCGCCTCCACGATGCCCCAGTCCCAGTCCCTCCAAGTATTCAGGTCGCCCGTCTCCTGGGAACTGTGTGAGAGGCCCCGCTGTCCCGTCGACCTTTCCGCAGTGAGGGAAGTGTTTTACGTCAGTGCTGTCCCGTGGGCAGTCGGAAGCCACCTGTGGCCCCTGACCTCGCCCAGTGTGGCGAGCGTGACCGGGGACCTGAATTTTTAAGTGGTAGTGGTAGATTGCGTGTTCTGTGAGCAGGAGGCCCTCAGTTCTGTCCCCAGCACCACAGAAAAGGACAGATGCTCGGTTTCCTTTACACAGGCACACGGGGCTGTTGGGGGCCCCAGGCCCCACTGTGCGGATGAACTCTCCAGGTCTCTGTTTGCGGCTTCTTCTGCTTTCCTGCTGTCTTCCTGTGGAAGCTGCCTGCTCTCGGGCCGCAGAGAGGAGCCCCGGCTGCAGCTCTCCTCCTCCGCCCTGTCCCGGCCGCATCCCTGCAGCCCCCGCCGCCCTCCGGCCCCTCCACAGTGCGTCTCCGTGGCCCTGGCTCTGCGGGTCGCACACGCGGCCGTTGCCTCCTTTCCCTGCCGTTCTTGGGCTTTCTCCTCGTTTCCTACCCCATCTGAACCGAGGGGGAGCGGGCGCTTTGTCATGTAAGCCTGGTCCCCCGCCCCGTGCCGTGTCTGTATGTGTCACACATGTGTAGACGTGAAGACACGCCTGCGTTGTAATTTTTTCCCGAACCACCTCACGATAATGTAGATGTGGTATATGCCTCGATCCTCCTAAATGCCTAAATGTATATTTTGTGTTCTTAAAAAAGGACATTTTCCTCCAAAACTAGTGTCAGCGTCAGATTTGACGTGGATTTGGTACTCGTATCCAATCCGCAGATCTGACCAAGGGTCACTGGTTGTCCTTTATACAAAAAGAGTGGGGGAAAGATCTTTTAAAAGAAAAAGAAACCCTTCTGTCCAGGAGCCCCCAGGCTCTTCGTGGTGTTCCTTTCATCTGGCCCAATTGCTCAGTCCCGTCTGTTATGACCTTGACACTTTTGAAGGGCACAGGCCGGTTACTGCGTGGGCTGTCCCTTCATCGGGCGCGTGTGGTGTGTCCCGTGTGCAGCGCGGTGCTCCCCGAGTTCCCTGGCGGCCGCCGAGCCGCTGTCCTCTCTGTAGCCCCACTGGGCACGTGGTGGTGCTGCCCTTGTGCGCCTCCTCTTGCCTGTCCAGCCTCGAGGTGTGCCCTGCCCTGTCCCTCGGCTGTCACACCCTTCCTGTTCCTGTCACGCCTCCTGCTCCCAGCCTTGCGGTGCGAGGTCTGCTGTGCGCCGGGCAGGGGGGCCTGGTCCTGTCTCACCCTCTCCCGCTCTGTGCTGAGTGCACTCCGCTCACCCCTCCAGATGCTCGTCTCCGATCCTGCTCCTCGGATGCCTTCCGGATGGCCCCGCTCAAGCCGCTCCTGCCTTCAGCTCAGTGGCCTTGCCTGCTGTGTACCACTCCAGTGACACTGTGTAGCCCAGGCCGGCCTCCAGCCTTTGACCCTCCTGCCTCAGCCTCCTGAGTGCTGGAGTTTCAGGTGCGGTCCCCTCCCCTCTCAGCTGGTGCCTTGCTGACACGGTCTCCCTTGGACTCACAGCATCCAGTTAATCATGAAGCAAAGCCGCGTGGGGGCCTCACGTGGGGGCCTCAGAGCTGTCCGCTGGCGTCAGTGCGCGAGGACAGATGTGAGGCCCATGCCGTGCCCTTCGAGGAAGGTGGAGGTTCAGAAGAGGCTCTCGTAGGAAGGCAGTGGGTTCTTGGAGACATGGAGAAATGATTCTCCCTGCTGACATCTTAATTTTGTGCCTGTGTCAACATGAAGAAAGAGCACAGTTGAGAGGAGAAGCTGGTCATCTCGTGTTAAAAATGGCCCGGCCGGGTCTCCGCGTTCCGAGCAAGCGGCTGTGTGTGCGGCTTCCTGCGCCCGCTGCCTCGCTGCAGCCTGGCCGCCTGTTCCTGTCATTCTCCGGCTGGTCTCTCTGCCCTCTACTTGCTCCTTCTCGTCTTCCTTTTTCTGTTTTTGAGACAGGTTCTCACTAAGTTGCCCAGGCTGGTCTTGAACCTGCTGTAGTCCTCCTGCCTCGCCTCTCAAGTGCTGGGATTATGCGCTACCACTCTTAGCTTTTTCTTCTTTCTTCTTTCATTCTTTCTGCCTCTTCCCCTTGATAACTCCCTCTCCCTATCTTGATATTATTTTGTGTTTTTGCTTATTGGATATGGTTTTGTATTTTATGAGTTGTTAATATAAAAGCAGGTGATTTTTTTTTGAGACAGGTTCTCAGTATGTAGTTCAGGCTGGACCCAAATTTGCAATGATCCTCCTGCCTCAGCCTCCAGAGTCCTGGGATCATAGGTGTTCAGCACCACACCTGGCTCAAAAGCAGGTGATTTTCGATTCTTTGAATCTTTTCCTTGCTCAGCGGATCTTGGTTATACGTTAGCTTTTGAGGTACCAGGGATTGAACCTGGGGCCTGTATATACCAGGCAAGCCTTCTACCACTGAGCTGTGCTTCCAGCCTTTTTTACTTACTTACTTTTGCAGTGCCAGGGACTGAACTCAGGGCCTGGCACATGGTAGGCAAGCACCGTATCACCGAGCTGCGCCCCGCAGCCCCTCAGTTCTCGGTGGTAATGAGGTGAGTTAGTGGCATCTAACCCCGTCTCTGGTACCTCAGGAAAGCCGCTGGGAAGGTGCTGGTTGACTGGCATCAGAGGGCCTGGAGTTTTCGGTCTTTGCGGGCAGCCCTGGTTCTGGAGGTCAGGGGTCAGCTTGGAGGGCGCGGGTGGCGGAGGTTGCTGGGAGCCACAGGGGGGCTGCCTGGTGCTGGGCGTTCCCTGCTGCCCCCCGGTCCTCCCGTGCGTGCCCCCGGTGCTCCCGCGGGCCACGACGACCTCTCCGGATGACGACGCTGCGGGAGAGAAGGCAGAAATCCTGCTGCAGTGTTGATCTGAGCTTGGCTTGGAGAAGGAGTGAGTTTGTGTGGGAGCAGCGTGCGGGGGCTGCTTTGGCATCACAGAATTCTTAAAATTGTTTAACCGGGAAGACGTTATTCAGAAACCTCTGGTGCCTTCAGCTTGTTTTTTGTTTATTTCAGGTTTCTTTTTCCCCCATTTTTAATCATCTCTGGAAGAGCTCAAGTCCCTCCCCTGCTTGCTCTAAATAGTCATAAAATTAACATGCCGAGCTCCAGTCGGTGCTTGAAATGAAAGGGTCTGTCCAGGACTACCACGCTGGGAGAGGGTCCGGGCCCCCGGGTTTGGCTTCCGAACCCCCGGCCCCGCTCGCCGTGGGCAGGAGCCGCACTTCCACCTGGAGTCCTGCTTGCAGAGGGCCGGGGAGCCGGGCCTCTGTCCCCTGGATGAGCCCTGCAGTCTGGGGGCGGAGGGGGGAGTTTATGCCGGCTTTTAATATTTTTTCTGTTCTAGCTGTTGCATTTGGCAGATTCCCTTTGCCACACTTGGTAGTGTGTCTTCTCTAATGCGACAGAGAAAAGTTGCCAAATATAGCTGCTGATAAAAGTAATATTAAGACACTTCTCCTTGGGTGTGGGTGTGGGCGCGTGTGAGGGCCTGGCCCACGGCGCGGTGGCCCCAGCCGCCTGCCAAGCACACAGCTGGAGCTGCGCAGAGCGCCAGCCATGGATCAGTCACTTGGGCAGGAGAACGCAGTCACGGAGGCGATGGGCCTTTCCAAATTAGAAAAACAAAAAAGCAAATCAACGCGTGTTTATGAGACCCGGAAGAGGAGAATGGCTGGGCCTCAGGGGAACACGGATTCACAAGGGACGAGGCCCTGCTGCCCCAGGCAGCTCAGCCGGGCAGACAGAATCTAGGAGAAGTTCAAGTAACAATAGAAGATTTAAATAGTATTTCAAAATAGCTGTTATTAATAGCTGAGAACAAAAAGCAGTCTGGTTTGGTAGAGGTTCTCCTAAAGACGGTGACATCGTTCTGCGCTGCACGGGGTGGGTGGGAGTGCGGCTGCAGCTGTGCCTGGGCCCCAGGGCTTTGCCTGTGACTCTGTCTGGATAGGGGGAGCCCACCTGTCTGTTCAGAACCAATGGGTTCCTCCAGTTGTGTAGCGACTGCCGCTGTGGCTGGAAGACTGCTGTAAATGGTTCAAGCATTCTAAAATCCATTTTTACAAAGTTGGGTTTTGTTTTGTTTTTTTTTTTGAGAGAGGGTCTCATTATGTAATTCAGGCTGGCCTTGAACTCACTATGTAGCCCAGTCTGTCCTCAAACTCCAAGTGATCCTCCTGCTTCAGCCTCCAGAGAGCGGGGATTACATGAATGCTCCACCACACCCAGTTCTGAAACCTGATTTTATGAATCAAACACAGTCATCCCTCACCGTCCTCCCTCTAGCGGGGTTCCCTTTGGGAATGGAGCAGAGAGGAGGGGAACGAAGGCAAGTCTTGGGAAGTGGAATTGAACTTGTTTTCACAAAGGACAGTGGAAGTGTCTGTGCTGGAGCCCTGTGGAGGGGTCCAACTCTCTCTGGGACCCAGGCTTTGGAATGCTGCACTGCTGCTAGCACCTGGAAGCCAGCGCACCGGTACCTCAAGCCCTGTGTATGAATAGAAATTGACGCACATATGTCACAGCTGGGCTGTGTAGACTGTAAACTCAGACGGAGCTTGTTTCTGATTTTTTTTCTTCTTCTTCTTTGACCCAGGTTCTTGCTGTGACCTTCAGGCTGGCCTTGAACTCACTGTGTAGCCCAGGCTGGCCTCAACCTTAATGCAAGCCTCCTGCCTCAGCCTTCTGAGTGCTGGGATTACAGCACTGGGATTATCACAGTGCTGTCATACCCAGCTCTGTGTCTTGATTTTGATAGCTCCAAGTGAACAATTTCTTGTGTGTGTGTGTGTGTGCACACGCGTGTGTGTGTATGTTTATTGGCTCATTCCTTTTCAAGTATGTATTTAAATTTTTGTAATTGCAATAATGCAATTATTAAAGTATTTTGAAAACAACAGTGGTTGTAGTGGCACACACTTGTAATTCCCAGCACTGGGGTGGCTGAGGCAGAAGGATCACCAAGAGTTCGAGGCCAGCCAGGACTACATAGTGAGTTCAAGGTCAGCCTGGATTACATGGTAAGATCCTGTCTCAAAAAAAAGGAAAAGCAGAATATAAATGTACTCAGTGGCACTATTTACATTTTTATTTCTTTCTTTCCATTATTTTAAGGGTCCTACCATAACAAGACTTCTAGTGTGGAATCTCTGTGTTACCCTTTCCAAGATGGTTGAGAGAGTTCTGGGTTAATGTAGGACTGAAGAAATGTTGAGGCTATGTCTAGATTTCCCCGCAAAGCCTCCTGCAGTCATAGGTGGGGCTTTTTCAGAGGTGGCTGGATCTAGAGTGTGTGATGCTGAGATTGCTTCATAGTGTAATGCTAGGATCAAGGGCACCAGGATTAAGGGTGTGAGTGCTGCCCACCCTAAGTAGCATGGATGAAATATAAGAGATAGAGCTGTTGTTGTCCCTTGTTGCTTTGCTACCTTCTGCTCACCATGAACTGTTCCTCCTCTGCAAAGCCACCCTGCCTTGGAGCCAGCTGGTTATGGACTGAAATCTCTGCAAACTTCAAGCTAAATAAATCTTTCTTCCTTTAACTTTGGGTATCAGGTATTTTATCTCAGCAGTGAGAGAAAGGTAAGAAAGAATTTGGTACCAGAGGAGTGGGGTCATTGCTGTGACTGTACCTGACAGTGTGGTTTAGGAACCTTTGGGAATGGCTTGTGGGATGCGTTTGGAAAGGTTTGGAGATGCCGACTGAAAAAGTTAGTGCTGGAACGCCTTTGGTTGTTCTGTATGGGAGATTCTGGTCAGAGCTCAGAAGACCAGAAGGCTGATAGAAACCCTGCTGGTAAAGACTAGGCTCGGGAGGTTTCTTCTGGGAAGAAGGACTTCCTTGGCTGTTGGACTCCAGACACTGTGTTATGGCTTGGCAGAAAGATTTTCTTCATTTTGCTTGTGTCCAGAGACTTTGCCAGGACTGAGATTAAGGGTGGCAGATTGATTAACCTGGCAGAAGAAATGTCAAGACAGTTAAAGGTTGAAGTTGTGGCAAGGGTGCTGATGGAGGCTTTTAGCCAGATTTATGTTGAGAATCAAGAGTAAAGAGCCCAGTAGGATGATTTAAAATGTGAATTTGGCCAGAAAAGAAACTCCAGTAAAGCTGTGGACTGCAAAGATAGAGCTGAGGGGATCTCCACTGCTGAGAAGGAACAGGAGAATAGGAAAGGTGGCCTGAGGGCATCACAAGGACAAACAGGACTCTGCAGCCTCAGAGTTGCAAAGGTGAAAGACTTCACTTTGAGAAGAGAGCCCAGAGTACCGTGTTCCAGAGTGGCGGCGGCCTGGGGGAGTTGTTCCTCAGAATTGGATTCAGAGTGCTCAGGGATCCAGGCACTCAACCCGCACAGCCAAGAGAGAAGGAGACCTGGCTACTCCTCCAGCTGGCAGCAGACCTTGGTGTCATCCAAATGGCACTGGTTTTAGGTGCATGCAGAATGCAAGAGCTGT